ATATTTTTTTTTTTTTTTTGAGGAGGGGATACAATTCAACCCAGAATACATGCATTATGAATTTGCAGAAGAAACATTTCCAATATGTGTGTCTTAAGTTTATTTGACAAGAAAATCTGCTTTGGAAAAGGTCTCTTCCTGGACGCACTTTGAAAATATTGGCTTTGAGGGATTCATGGTTTCTCAGACTAATAGTACAAAGATAGGATCCTGGAAGAAGGTATAGGGATAAGTCAGGTGTATCAAAGTAGTGAGTATATTTGTCTTAGCCCATTTTCTGTTGCTATAAGAAAATCCTGGAGACTATTCATGTTATAAAGAAAATAGGTTTTAATTACTTATAACTCTGGAGATCCAAGAGTTTAATGCCAGTAACTTCTCAGCTTCTGGTGAGGGCCCCATTACAGACGGTATCACATGAAAGAAACATGTGCATGAATGATGATTGGATGCATGTGGAAGAGACCAAAACCCTAGGGGTAAACTTGGTTTGTTAACAACCTGATCTCATGGTAAGTAATCCGGTCCCTCAGGATACAATTCTCTTCTATGAGAATGCATTTCCAAAAGCCCTAACCCAGTTATTGAGAAAGACATTAATCTATTAATGAGGGTAGAAGCCACATGACCTAATTATCCCTTAAGAAGCCCTCCACTTCTCAACAGTTACGTTAGGGACCAAGCTTCCAGCCCATGGACCTTTGGGGAACAAACCACATCCAAACCATAGCGACATCTACATCTCACCCACAAACCTGATGGGACCCAACACATCTGGGCTCCGTCCTCAATTCCACATAGTGACTATGGCTACGCCTATTTGCCAATAGACAACTTACTGTAATGCAGTTAAAATCTCACCACCTTCTCAAAGAGATAAGATAAATTCTATCACTTGCTTCCAATTGATACAATTCCTCATATCTGGGCACTCACAATAGAATGAGTATTTTAGAAGAAAGTTGGAAGACTCCAGTCGAAATGACCCTGCTATTGTAAAAATTAAAGAAACAATAATAATGAAGGAAACACCAAAATGTGATCCCTCTTGACCTTTTCAAGTTTCAAAATACAAATGAATACATCATACGTTGAAACTGAGTTAAAGCTCATATTAATATTGATTTAGAGTATGTTCTTTCCTATTGTGTGAAGCCAGAAATAGAAATTATCACATAACTAGTGCTTAAAGGCTGTAACATTCCCCAGACAGGTTTACTTACATTTCTTAGGTTACATTTCCCAATGACCTTGTCCCACTTCTGCACAAGATGAGTAAATATTAGAACTAGCACAATCTCCTAGTGTGTGATGCTATTTATAATCATGCAGAGCCTTGGCTAGCCACGTACAACCTAGGAAAATGTCTAAAAATTGCTTTATTGTATACCTAATTTAGGGAAACAATCCATTAAAAAATACAAAGTTAATAGTTGCACAAAATATGCAAGAATATGAAAAGTCAATAATCTACATGCAATACAAATCCTATGAACTTTCTGTTTGTTTAGTTTTTGAGATGGCATATCACTACATTCATTGCTCAGCCTCCCAAGTCACTGAGACTACAGGTGCATACCACCATGCCCAACCCCTTATGAACTTTCTAGAAATTTATTCTCTAGTTTGTTTTCTCTGTCTGATCTTCATTATACTGGTAAATAGCAGGGAGCTATAAAGAAAAATACATATATATATTAATTACTTATAAATGGACACAATACCTTTATTTTATTTATTTATGTTCATGTGAGGATTGAACCCAGTGCCTCACATACGCTAGGCAAGCACTCTACCACTGAGCTACATCCCAAAAACCTCTATTCTTTTGAAGAAAATTGGGTCACTTTACTTTCTTATCATCACATCAAAATATCCCCTATCCAGCCCCACAACATGTATTTCAATCCCATGGGCCATTAAAAATAAGAAGGGGCCAGGTGTGGCAGTGCATGCCTATAATCCCAGCAACTTGGCAAGCCCTAAGTGACTTAACAACTCAAGTTCAAGACCAGTCTTAGCAACTTAGCAAGGCCCTAAGTGACTTAACAAGACCCTGTCTCAAAATACAAAGGAATGGAGATGTGGCTCAGTGGTTAAGTGTCTCTTGGCTCAATCCCTGGTACCAAGCCAATAATAATAATAATAATAACAACAACAACAACAACAACAATAATAATAATAGGGTTACTTCTAGTGGCAACAGAACATTCATTCTCAAAATTTTAACTTTGGGGCCATGGTGGGAGGAAAGTTGGTGGAATGAGACAGACATCATTACCCTAGGTACATGTACGATTGCACGAATGGTGTGACTCTACCTCATGTACAACCAGAGAAGTGAAAAATTCTGCTGTTTGTCTACAATGAATCAAAGAGCTTTCTGCTGTCATGTATAACTGATTAGAACTCATAAAAATTTTTAAAAATTTTTAACCTTGCCTTTCCCCTGATCTGTTTACTGGTTTGACACTGAGAATTGGAAATGGGGGTCCATGTCATCCCAAAGAATAAGCTATCCATACAACTGTGTTCGGCTTTTCTCCAACTCAAGAAAGTGCATCATAAAGCAAAAACACAAGTGACAGCATAAAGATAACTGCATCCATGCACTCTAATTTATACAAACAATTTTAAATTTCAGCACTGCAACTGTAGCAGCATGCAGATCTGTGTGGCTGGTAAGTAGAGCCTTGGAGAGGAGGAGGGGTGGGTAGGGGAGGTTTAGGGAAAGGGCAGGTTCCACATAGGCCTGCACTTCCTATAACACAGGGACAGATTCAACATCCTCCCTGAGATCTGGAGTTGGGTTCCACTCCTTTGGACAGAACCATGAGGACTTCAAAAATCTACTACAAAGAAACAGATAAGTAAAAGTCCTCTAAATACTGCACCTAGGGGAAAGTGTCTGTGCTAATCAGTATTAAATTGACAGAACTACAAATTTCATATATAAGAGCACCTGAGTTTCCTCACTTCCACCCTGTAACAGGCCTGCCTCCCATTTCTCTTCACATGATACAGTTCAAAACATTTTTGGTCATCTGAATTTGGGTCAGTGAAATTCTGATTATCTAAATACCCCTAGAAGAATGACATTTGTAGATGCAGTCTCCAGTTGTTGTGCATAAAAAACCATAATCAGATGTTCCTCAGCTCTTTTGTGTTGTTTCTTCCATTCTTCCCTATAGAAAAAGTTTCTGTGTGGGGTTTCCCCCCCCCCAAAAGGAAAGTATAGTAAGTTATGGTAAATGAAAGTCCTGTGGTCTGAATAAGTGTCCCCCAAATTGTCAAGTGTTAAAGGCTTGGTCCCCAAGGTGGTGCTGCTGAGAGGGGGTGAAACCTTAAGAGGTGGGGACTTATGAGGGTCTTTAGGTCATTAGGGACAGCAGCTTCTTCCTTTTTCTCTTTTGCATTCCATCCAAGGAGCATTTTTGTCACTATGTGCATCAATCCTAAACCACTTTCAAAAAAACAACTAAAGAATGATAACCAATTCAGAACAGAGAGGAAACGTACATGACAGTAACAGGTCCAAAGGGAGTCCAGCATAGTCAGAAACAGCAGAAGTGGTGGTGAAGAGCATTCATTTAATTTAGAAGTGAAGAACAAAGATTTAGGTTTCAACTAAAAAAAATAAAATCACATCTGAGATATGATGTTCTGTCAGATAATCAAAGGGATCAGGTCACTGCTTTCTACACACAGGAGGAGAACACAGGGTAGATTTTCAAATAGGTTACAAGGACTTCCACGGGTGCGTGGCTCAAAGGAACGGTAGCCAGGGAAACAGAAAGGAGAGTCCACAGATGACCCCGAAAAAGGCAAAGTGCCTCATTAGGCGAACATAGAAACCAACCTGTCAGAGAACCACTAGGTCAGCCAAATCAGAGTTCTCCCAAATTTCTACAGGAAGTTAAGTGATATCTTAAATGATGTCTGGACATGGTTGAACCAAGTGGCACAGCACTCTCTACTCCCCACATCTTAGCCCTTCTCTCACCATCCGTAAGAGGTGATGCTGGGGCTTAAATCCATTACATCTGACCCCAAAGCTCTTTTAAAAGAGCAGCATATAAAACTGACCTCAAATTATAGGTAGAATTTGAAAACGGAGATTCTCTGGGACTGAAAGAGAAAAGGCAATAAGCAGTGCCAAGGAGGCCACCAGAGGAAGGAAATGGCAAGAGCCAAAGCACAGAGGTGGGAAACCTTAGGCACATGCAGGAATTAAAGGAGGTGATACAAGATAAGGCTTCCAGAAGGTCCTGCAGACTGAGTCAGGGAAGGAGGCATCGTTCTAGAGACCATGAGGAATCACTAAAGGCTTTAAAGAGGCGAATGGCATAACTACAGGTAGACTCTGGGAAACTAATCCAACAAATCTTTCTAAGACATGGAGGATGGATCAAAGAGTAGGGAGACATCTTGCACATAGTAGATAATTAATATTGAATGGATAAAGGCAGAAAGACAGGTTAAAATGTATTGCATTTCTCCAATATAGTATCAAACCTATTCAACTCAATCCCATTTCATATTGTTTATTTTGCTAATTAGATATCAAATTCCACTTCTTCTAGAAGGAAATGATGCTGCTGGTGCTTTAACAACAACAACAAAAAAATCATCAGTCAAATACAGCCCTGGAAATGTTGCAGTAAAGTATTTATTCTGGCAGAGATTAATATTTTCCTCTTCTGTTCACAAGGAGGTACATCTGAACTGCTGTTGTTAACTGCTGAAAAAGAAAACAAAATTAACCAAGTATAAAAGTTAGGCAAAGAGGAGGGATCCTCCCCCAGAAAAGGTTACTGGAAAATAAGGAAATCATGAGCTTGACCTCATTTTTCCTTTGCTTTCCTATTAATATAAATCAAGCTATAGCCTTCTTGATGATGCCAAACTTTCTTCTGCACAGGTCCTGGAACCATCTGCAAAGCACCAACTGCTCAGTGAGAAACTGAGGCTGAAAAACACTGAGGTAAGTCAAAACCTACCTGATTTTCTTCATGGGAAACCCTCATCTGCTCCTTAAGGACAGACATCCGGGCTGCCTCTTCCTTCCTCAGGACTCTTTCCTTCTTAAGCTCAGGACTCCAGAAGGTCTTGATGCTGTTCATGGAAGATCCCAGCTTGCTGTCCTTGATGTCCAGCTCTTTCCGAAGGAGATCATTCTCTCTCTGGAGTTCCTTGAGCTGGGCCTGAAGGTCTAACATTGTGCTATCTCTTACCTGCCTCAACATGGAGGGGACCTGGTGGTGGTGGTGATGGGATGAGCCACTCAGGCCACCATGTTGATCAGTGTATGAAAGGACATCTGTGTGGGAAAGTCCTGCGGAAGCAATATTGGGACTACTCCCCATGGCTGTGACCCGGCCTCCATATACAGCTCGATTAGTGGCCCTGCCCAGAGTCATGGTGCCCTTTGGGTATGTTGTGGAAGCCACCCCCTCATGATCACTCAGGTACATGGGTCCAGACGTAGCATAGGCTGCATTAAGGGACTGGATATTCTCCATAGACAGGGTCTTGCCTGTTCCTCCCCCTCCCCCACTACTCGTTCTTCTGTGGCCCAAACGAGGAGACCTTGGCAGACGAGGTGATCTGGAAGGGCTGCCTTCCAGATTGGTGATTGTTCTTGCACTTCCATACATTTTTCTTCTATTATGAGGCGCTACTGAAGAGAAGAAATGCTATACTAAGTTGGGGTTTAAGTCAGTATTTCCACTGTTGACCAGGACTTTCACTGCGTTCTTTTCACAGTCTGTACCAGAAAATGACTCCAATCAGAGATCTGCAAAGTGAGAAAAGGAATAGTTAAAAACAAACCTCTTTAGAACTCAGACTATAATGGCATTATATTTTTAAATATACTGGTAGAAAAGTGATGATGAGGAAAGGTGGTAGCTCAACAGTCTCATCTGTAACATTTATTGAAAAAGAAAAATGACCCCAAAACTTACTTGCTACATGGAAACATTTTTGTAAATTGCCCTCACTCTGCCACCAAACAAGAAAAAGTTATCAAAACAAAAATGAAATTCTTTTTTTCCTTAGGAAAATGAAGCTCTCCATTTTGATTTCTGGTGTTAGAACTGGGACCTCCCAAAAATTTCACCAAAGGATTCCGCCATCATGGATACCTTGGCAACAAAATAATCCATCCTTAGGGGCATGACCCCAATGACTAAGAAGCTGCTGCTTCCTAAGATGTCCAAATTTGACAAGTATGTTGATCCTTTCTCCTTCTATACCCATTATAGACAGCACTACTCATCACATTCCTCTTTTCCAATAGGTTGAGAAATCTCTACACAACCTTCTAGATGGTTTACCACTAATCAACTGGCATCAACACATGAATTGGAACCTACTGACCACCTTAGAACTAGGTATCTCTAAAAAGTGGCTCAACCAATGAGACATCTAATGTAAGTTCAGATTCTCAATGCTATCACCAGGGAAAACAGTCGTTTCTTTTCCCTTTCATATACACTTTCCAGGCTGGTCGTTTGAAAATTCTTTTCCATGTGAGCTAACCTAGTTAATCTTCACAGTAACCACTTGCCACCTGTACAAAAATAGAATAGGGTAATAGAGTATATACCATGTTTGAGTTTCTGGTCACATAACCCCTACAGAAAAGCAATAGAAGCTCCCTATCATAATGAGTCAATTATGTTAGCACAGACTTTATTTAGCTGGGACTTCAGGGTTCTGATTATTCCTTCAATAGGACTCAAGTGACCTTAATGGGGTACATTGTAGCCTCCTGTTATTCCTCTTAAGGAATTTTTTTAGTATGATTTCTTTTCCTCAGGTTTATTTTTTTTTTCCAATACCCTTTTTACCACATTTTTTATTGGTGCATTATAGTTGTACATAATGGTGGGATTTATTGTTACATATTTATACATGCATACAACATAACAATATAATTTGACCAATGTCACTCTCTAGCACTTGCCCCTCCCTCCCAGCCTCTCACCCTTTGCCCCTTTCCTCTACTGATCTCCCTTTGATTTTCATAAGATCCACAATCCCCCATCTTTCTTTTCCTTTTTCCTCTCTAGCTTCCACATATAAGAGAAAACATACAACCCTTGACCTTCTGTTCCTCAGCTTTATGGCAATTAAAAGAACCTATTCCGGACAGGAACAAACTGAGGTTGAAATCACTCTAACATGGACTAGTTGAGTTACTTAGGCAAATTATTTATCTGTTATAAGCTTCTACTCTCCAACCAATAAAATGCAGGTAATATTACCTAACTTGTGGTATTGTAGGAAATAAGTCATTTTTATTGATAGTGTTCAATGAAATAAATACATTAAAAGCAATAAAAGGGGTATCTTTTATTTTGACTTGCCTATCATTCATCTTTTCTCCCTTCTCTACATATACTTTCTAGTAATTCTATCTCTATTTTCCTTAGAGAAGTTGTTTCCATCTCTTCACTAATAGTTCATAGGATTAGGTATGGCTGACTCGTCCTACTCCATCCTAGATGGTGCCAGGGGTGAGAACGTGACTTGGGCAATCAACATATTCCATACTCCAGACAAGGGAGCTAGTTTAGGGGTGGAAATGTGATGCCCCTTGGTCCAAAAAGACCCCATACTATGACTTCAGCTGGAACAACTAGGGAAGGTAAGTTCTTTTTCGCAGCTGGAATGACTTGCTTTCAAGATGGAGCTCTAAGTGCTTCCATATGGACATGGTCTCCCTGAGAGTGAAGCTAGTGCAAAATAAAACAGCACTAGACTCTGAAGATGTAAAACCAAGCCAGATGACATCATCTGATCCTCTAGATCCAGCAGTCATTAAAGCTTCATCTCTCTTCAAGCCATTTTAGTTATACATGCCAGGTAGACTGACAGAATTAATGACTCCACTTTAGCCTTTTTTCCATGTTCTTAGCAGTACCCTCCTAATTTGACTCTAATTCGAGTCATGTGACCTGTTTGGGCCAATACGTATGATAACATAGGTGAACCAAGCAGGGGCCTGAAAGTAGCACTTATGTGTTTTTTCTTGTTCATTTCCTCTACCATAACAATAAGAACATGCCCTAATAAAAGATGGGAAACATAAAATACAGCTGTTATGGTTTAGATGAGGTGTTCCCCAAAAGCTCATATGTGAGACAATGTAAGAAGGTTCAGAGGTGAAATGATTGGGTTATGAGAGCTTAACCTAATCAGTGGCTGCATCTGCTGATTAGATTAACTAAGTGGTAACCATAGGCAGGTAGGGTATGGTTGGAGGAGGTGGGTCACTGGAGGTGTGCCTTTGGGGCTTTATATTTTGTCCCTGGTGAGCAGAGTTCTCCCTGCTTCCTGGTTGCCATGTCCTGAGCTGCTTTCCTCCACCACATCCTTCGGCCATGATGTTCTGTCTTCCTTGAGCCCAGAGCTATGGAGTACAGCTTTCCATGGACTGAGACCTCTGAAACCATGAGCCCCAAATAAACTTTTTCTCTTCTCTGTTGTTCTTGTCAAGTCTCTTGGTCACAGTGATGAGAAAGCTGACTAAAACAACAGCCAAGCTGTCCTAACCAACAGCCAACCAAACCCAAGATGTGCGAGCAAATCCTGCCAAGATCAGCAAAGCTGCCTAGACAACCAGCAGCTGCTCAAGGATGCACAAGCAAGCCCCAATGAGATCAGCTGAGTAGAGCACATTCACAGACTAAATCAATGCTCCTTACTATGACACTGAAGTTTTGTAGTCAGTTTTTTCACAGCATTATGGGGTTAATGGGAAACTGATACATTTGCCCATAAATTTCTTTTTTGCTACATTTAATTCAAGTTGGAGTTTCTATCACTTACACCCTATAGTCCTCACAGAGAGGATGAAGAAATATTTTCCACAAAGCTTTCCCCTTTCCCTAAAAGGACCTTTAAAAGAATGATATACCTGTTTGTAAGGAATTTCATTTCAAATGTTTGCATTGCTCTGACTTTAATTTTGTTTTCCTTGAAAATACACAAAAATCATTTTGTATCTCACATTTTTGCATGAATAATCTGTTCTATATTTTTTTAGAGAATTTTTAATATTTATTTTTAAGTTCTCAGCGGACACAACATCTTTGTTGGTATGTGGGGCTGAGGATCCAACCCAGGCCGCACGCATGCCAGGTGAGCGCGCTACTGCTTGAGCCACATCCCCAGCCCCCCATTCTATATTTTAAAAAGGGAGAATCAAGGGCTGGGGATGTGGCTCAAGCAGTAGCGCGCTCGCCTGGCATGCATGCGGCCAGGGTTCGATCCTCAGCACCACATACAAACAAAGATGTTGTGTCCACCAAAAACTAAAAAATAAATATTAAAATTCTCTCTCTCTCTTTAAAAAAAAGGGAGAATCAACAGTTTCAACTATAAAAATTTAGTTACATTAAGTAATGAGACAGAGAGATAAGGGGAATAATATGAATAATATGATCGCTATCATGAATATTCAATGAGATGGGAAGACGTTCATGAACGTTCACTGGTAGTGAAGGGAAGAGCAGGTTACAAAACACCATCTATGATTCACTCACACTTTTCTAAAGCACACGCATATATATATATATATATATATAATCAATAGCAGAGGAGACTAGAGTATCACACATCAAAATGTCACAAGTGGTGGGATTCCAAGGTTTCCATCTTCTTCTTCTTGACATCCGAATGCTCTAAATTTTCTATAATAAGGATATATACTTTTATAATAAATCTTTTTTTCTCTATAATTCCCAAAGTTACATGTATGTGTTACCTTTCCAACACTTAGAATCTAGGGATTTAGGTCCCGACTGGGCCACCACTTACAGAATTGTATCTTCCTAGAAAGTGACTAAATGTCACTTGTCCTCACCTATCTTCTCCCCTTGTATCTAAAGACAGACATTTCTGATTTCTCTGTTTGAGGTCCCTCTCACAAAAGCCATGAAATTTATACCCACACAGATTTAATCCTCAGTGATTTCACTAGGTCAGCTGGCCAAAGCTTTGGAGAACTACAAGAACCAACAAGCAAAAAGTGAATGTGTTCCTTTTGGAAACAAGCACATACGTGCGCACACACACACACACACACAACACACAACATACAACATGCATAGAAACATTATCTTGTTTGAAATAATATTTCCTTATTTAAAAATCAATGTATGTTGAGACTAGCTCACAGTTTCCTCTGGCTTTCCTTATCTAGGGTTAGTATCAGATTTATTCTAGTATGACAATGGATGAAGAAGCTTCCATTTCTCATATGGCCTGGAACAGCTAACATAGTACAGCCCTTTCTATTTCAGAAATGTTTGGTAGAACAGATTCATAAAACTGAATGGGCTTGGTTGTTGGTTAACTTCGGTTTTTTGCTATGTTTACTGATCTATTTTGGTTTGCTGCCTATTTTATATCAATCATTGTAAAAATTCTTTTTCTTCAGAAACACCATTCCACCTAGATTTTTCCGTCTAATTGGTACTGCTTTGTATAACTTTTTCTTAAAATTTTAAAAATCATCTGCTCTTCTGTCCCCATCTCACTCCAAATGCCCTTAGTAATTTTCTTTTTCTCTTGATAACAATATGATAAATGTTTGTCTCTTAGAGTGTCAACGTGTAACATTTGATTTTATTGATGTATTTTACTACATTCTCTTTTCTATTTCATCTGTATCTCTTTCCCCTTAATAACTTCTGCTTCCTTTGTGTTTGGTTTTAGTTTTAGTTTTGTCTTTATTTTACTTTCCCCTTTCTGCATTAAATACTCATTTGTCTTCAATCACATTTT